ACACACACACACACACACACACACACTAACCACACACACACACACACTCTCAGCTGTTTGAAACCAGCTGACTCAGTCTCCGTCAGGACCAGGTGTGTTCCTGTCTCAACCATAAAGACCTCCTCCTCCTTTTCCTCACCTCCTCCTCCTCCCGCGCCTCGTCTCCCTCAGACCCCTCACTCTGCTCCCCTCCTCCCTCCTCCTCTTCTTCCTCCTCCTCCTCCTCCTCGGGGAACTCTACATCCGACTCCCCGGGGGCGATGGGGACGCTGATGGTCAGGTTGGGGTTGGTCATGTAGCTGTCGTCCTCCGGCACCACGTACTTCTCCACGTGACGACCTGAAATGGAGCAGAACCTCCACGTTCAGACCACATCAGGAGAACATTGGGTTTAGTGTGTGTGTCGTGTGTGTGTCATGTGCGTGTCATGTGCGTGTCGTGTGTGTGCGTGTCGTGTGTGTGCGTGTCGTGTTACCGATGACGGCTCCGTTGGCCTCGGTGTGGATCGAACTTAGACGCTTCAGCTTCATCATGGCTTTGGCTTCCTTCCGTTTCTGACGTCGGCGCTTCAGGTTCCCGTTAAAGAAGTCCACCACCTGAACCAGGATCATGAATCCAGCCTCAGACGCTTTCAGCTGTTTGACAGGTGGTGGGTCTTCGGTCGGACCGGTACCTACCTGTCGGCGGCACCAGGCCAGTCCTCTGGTGATCCGGTGGATGGCGATGTGCAGGTTGTTCATCTCGCCGTCGTCGTCTGGAGCCGACAGGTTGTCGGAGCTGAAACTGCTGAGGAGCAGAGCCAGGAAGAGGTTCAGCAGCTGCAGAAGGACACAAACAGGAGAAGGTTCAGGTTGGACCTCCGTGTCAGTTCAAAGGTCAGACAGGAAGGCAGAGGCCTGCACAGTGGAAGGATGTCAGTCATCTTCTTTGGTCTGCTCCCTCCAGCTGATCTCAACTGTGGACCATCTGCCTCCATCGATTCCAGCGTCCTCTGTCACAACATCTTCTCCTTCACTGCATCCATTTGTTTATTAGTTGCCCTTGTTTAACCAGAAGAGTCTCACAGACATCACAGATCTTTGTCTAAAGGTCCTCATGGGCCTGAAGCAGCCTAGCATGCATGTTTTGGACAGTGGGAGGAAATCAGGTACCAGGAGAAAACCCACAAAGAGAACATGCAAACTCCACACAGAAAGAGCCCAGGTCCAAACCAGGGATCGAACCCAAGACCTTCTGGCTGTGAGGCAACAATTCTAACCACTAAGACATCATGCTGCCAAAACCATGAACCAAATGGAGAGTAGAACAACCCATAAAGAGAGTAAAACAACAACTGGGGTCAGTAAAGCCCAGTAGAACAGACAAAACTGAACAAATCATCAGTAAAGTCCTGAAGGTTTCCAACATCTGAGAGCTTCTGAATGGTTGACCTTCAAGTTCTCTCTGAATCTGAAAGATGCAAATATTTCTTTATGTGTGCTGGACTTAAACATTTAAAGCCTTATTAACCAACTAACCAACCAGTTCAATGCAATTCAGTTTATTTCTATAGCTCCAAGTCATAAAAGAAGTCTGGGTGTCCAAATACTTCTTTAAAACGTCTTCAG